CTATTTTTGATAGTGATTTTGTTGAGTCCTCGATAATCAACACACATCTATAATGATCAATCTTTTTTCTTCACAAATAAAATTGGAGCTTCTTCTAGTGATTTGGAATGGCATATGAAGTTCTTGGCCAAATTCTCTTCAATATACTCCTTGAGTTCAGCCAACTCATTTTAAAATAAATTGTAGTTGATCCAAATGGTAGTTGTGCTCCTTCTTGAAGGTCAATTGAGTAGTCATAGGAACAATGTTCTGAAAGAGTATCCGCATTCTTTTTTTCAAATACATCTTAAAAATCTTGATATTAGCTTGGAATGCGACTTGAAGTCTTTCCACCAGTAGAAACTGGTATGGCATAAATGACACAAGGTTATCCTTCTTTTGCAGCATCCAAGAAAGCACTTGCACCTACAAATATAGGTTTAATTAGACTAGACTTATGACTTTCTACTTGATTAACTACACTCTTAGTTATATTTTCAAAAAAGTCAAGACTATAAGAAATCCAATCTATTTTAGGGCTATATTTTTCTAGCCATGATAAACCTAAAATGATTGGATTAAAAAGAGAGTTAATGATATTAAATATTATAAAGATACTATGACCATTAGTTGTTATTTCTATAAGAAGGGTTTCATGAGTAACATCTCGTGAAGACAACAAACGACCATCTATGACTTCTACATGAACAGGTTTAGTTTTCTTTACTGAAAATATGCTATGTCTTTTAGCAAATTTTTCATCTAAGAAACATGCTGAGGCTCCTAAATGTAGCAATATAGAGGCTTTGTGATATTTAGGTCTTAGAATAATATTTATCGTAAAACATGGAGAGGGTTCTAAGGAGAGGATAGGACCTTCACTAGACGTTGTACAAGATTCCAGCCACATAATACATATTGTAGGTGGACAAATTTGTTTTCCAACATACTATCTCCTTTGATCGCCGTACTCCTCATTTTATGGTTGCATCACTTCTATGGACAATGTTGAGTAGTGTGTTTAGATTCTCTACAATATAAGCACAATCCTTCCTGATGATGACGAGTCTTTTCTTGCTTAGTAAGAGATTTGAAATGTACTACATCAATTTGCATATCCTCTACTTCCAAATGTATGTGTTGAAGAGATATTGGTGTTGCTATTGAATTATAGTAACGTTGAGGTTTACTTGTACGATTCTTAGATCGAAATTCAAAAAGGCGATTGTTGCACTTTATATCAAAGTCAATTGCTTGACTCAATGTTTGAGGATCACATAAGTTAAGCATTAATTTTTTTACCTCATATTATAATCTATAGAGAAAATGGCTTATAAATGTAGTATCATCCTACTTGATATCAGTTGTAAGTTATCAAAATTATGAAGCATACAACGTTACTGATCGATTACCTTGTCATAAAATATGGATCTTATTGGTTGCAACACAAATTACATCATGTTCTCCATACATGGATCGAAACTCCACTAAAAAAGCTTCTAGATTATCTAATATTGGATCTCGTCATTCAAGAAAAGATGAAAACCATGATAATGCTGAACCTGAAAGAAGCGTAACAATGAATCTAACTTGCAATCCTTGAGTTGAATAGCTTTGGGATTGAAGTTCAATCAGAAGTTGTACTTGATTGATAAATCCTCTAAACTTTGATCTGGTACCATCAAACTTCTCGAGTAGGGCAATTCTTGATTCTCTACCACTGGAAGGACGTTCCACCATAGGAGAAGGGACATAATTTGGTATAGATATTGAAGCAGCTCCAATCATTTCTATATCTTCACTTCTTGCTAATCTTTTTTCTCCTTGTGGTAGTAAATTGAGTTTATGCATCGCAAGCATTAATTTCCTCAATTGCTCTTGCATTTGTACCATTACACTCTTCATATCAGGAAGTTCTGCCATGATAACACTTAAAAAAGAGAAGATGTCTAATATCACTCAAGACAAATAGAAGAGAAGACTTGAGAACAAAGAAAATACTAAGGACAATATTAGTTTAGAAGAGGGTAATCCGCAACTTCTAATATGCTTATGTCTTATCAAGAGAAAGGAATAATCCACTCTTAATCAAGATTAGACAAAGCTTTGATATTGTAAATATACTCTTGTCAATCTGTCAAGGACAAGAACATTATAAAAATAAATAAACAAGTGAGACTTCTCTCAAAGAAAGATGAAAAAATAGAACTTGATATGTATATTAATAAAGAAACTGGAATGGCTATTGCCAAAAGCCAAGAAAACTAGAGATCCTTGAAACTAGACTCGAAGCAAGAAATGAGTTGACAAGAGTGAAGAAGGCTTCACTCTTGTCTCTATATATACTATCTAACTAGGGGCTATGTGGTGACATTCTATAAGACCTCTAATATGTGTTGACTTTGTAAGACACATGTCTTGACTTACAAGGTAAGTTTTTCTACGTGTGGGCTACATAGTTAGCTTGGTCTTCAAGCTAACAACATGTGTGGCACATGGCCAACTTTATGACCATGTTTCTAATCCAAAAAGTCAATTAAAGACACCTATAAAGTCAAAACAGTGTCTATGAAGCTTCTAAGAAGCTTTCGTACTAAATACTATAGAATTAATTTACTTTTACTTATTTTTACTTACTTCTACCTATTTATACATGTAATTACTAACTTACATGCATATGTCCGTGACAGTTAATCAAATAGAGATAAAATTCTAATATTATAAATGTAATCCTATTAATTTATTTAGAACAAGAACTTGATGAAAGTGAAAAAATAAGTAAGATTTTTTTCAAAGAAGGATGAAAAAATAGAAATAAATAAAAAAAAATCATGTATATTCAAAAGAAATTAAAATGGTTATTGCCAAAAGATGAAAAAATTAGAGATCCTTAAAACCAAACTAGAAGCAAAAAAAGAATTGATAAGAGTGAAGAAGGCTTCATTCTTGCTTCTATATATACTATCTATTTAAGAACTTCATGGCAATGTTCTACATGACCTCCTACACATGTCCAATTTGCAAGACATGTGGTTTAACTTACAAGACAAGCTTTTTATATATATGCCACATTATTAGCTTATACCACAAGCTACCAACACATGTGACATGTCATGAACTTGTTGACCAAGTTTCTAATCTATTAATAACTTGTAGATATGTATGAAAATGAAATTGCATCCATATAGCTTCTTGAAAGCTTTTCTATAAGATATTATCAAATTAACCTATTTTTATCTATTCATATTACTTAAGTAACCATTGGAATAAATATGTATGTCTATGATACTCATAGTAGCCCAACTGTAATATGCCACATTGTTAGCTTAATCAATTTAGAGTATGTACAGAATATTATACAAGGCATTGTATCCATGTAATTGTAGTTGAATTGTGCTCACTCAAGTGTATCGAACTTTGATTTAATTCATAGAAACGGTTTTTTGATCGTTCATGCAATGGGTTAGTCCAACCTGTAGGTAGCATGTGAAAAAACGAGATGGTTGAAAGTTAAAGAATTCCGATTGAAGTTCATGAAGTAGCCTTCTAGCTTTGACAGAACTTACGGATTTTCTGGCCAGGGCGTGGGTCCTGAGTCGGAGAGAAGAGTAGGAAGTCCTCAGTGCGGCCTCATTGAGGCGAAGAAGTGGCTGCTGAAGCTGTGGGTCCGAATGTGGATGCTAGCGCATCGACAGTGTTCGACAGGAGTTTGAGTAAAGAAATCCCTGCAATGATCGAGAATGAGAATGAGAAGGTAGTGGCGTTCAAGGATATTAATTCACAAGTTTTGCACGGAGACCAGCTATGCGCTCAATTGCCAAAGCCTCTCCTCATGAGTGTGGATTTTCTGGCGGCGTCGACTTGGAACAACCTTATCGTAGATGATCTGTAGCTTTCGTCCTCACAAATGTGCTCGTACAGCAACTTCTTTCGGCCATTCAACCATGTTTCTCTCACCCCGAGCTGCAGCACTACGACCAAGCTAGCATCATCTTCAAAAGACAGATTCACTGCCCGTCTCGAAGTAACATTGCACATACGCATCAGCTCTGCCACGATCTATTTAAGACCCAGACTGCAGCGCTCCTGCCGCTTCGTCGCTCACCGTTAGTGGAGATTCTTCACAAGCTCCGCAAGTGTGGTTGGAAATGCCCTCACAAACTGAAAAAAGTTTGCCACTACACTCGTGAACGTATACTGTCAAAGAAGAATTTTGATTTTAGCAATGTGGAACTTTTTGTTCATAAAGTCCTCTTGTTCATAAAGTCCTCCTGTAGGCATAGGATCTTTTCAATTCTATCTACATTGACATCCGTCATGTTATGAAAACTGTCAAATATCTCAATACTTAGACATGTAGTGAATCTAGTTCTTATTGAAAATGTTTTTAGATTATCGAAGTTTCTTTACGTAATCTGGTTTCGATTTTATGAAATTCATTAAATTCATTAACATTTGCGCACTTGAAGTTACTTAAGTCACGTTGTTCTTTGATGAAGTTTATTTTAAGAAATGCAATTTACATGTACCAGTGTTGGATTACAACTGTGATATATAGATACCTAATTGGACATACCACCTAAAAAAGAAGTTGCACCATGGCAATAGCTACAAGTCGATTTACATATTATAAAAATTGTTTTGTATATATTTTTTTAGTATAAGATAGTCACTTTCCTCAATGCTCTAAATTTATTAATCCATCCCATTCTTTGTTCTTAACCTTCTCAAGGCTTGTAAGTTACTTTAGTTTCAACTTGACAAGCAAAGGATAATGCAACACCACTGTAATATCTATCAAGAAACATCAATGAGGACTGTTGAGCAGACAAAACACAACCCACGTCAGAAATCCCCCAAGAGAAAGTTACGAAAAAGAGAAAGGTGAGCAGAAAGGCCTTTTTCACTGGACGAAGCACGGGGTAACCAATCTGCGAGGGAGTGGTGCCACAGTGTGAATGGGGCCAGGGCATGGCGGGGGAGCACGCCTCGTGGAGTGAGTGGGCTCTAGAAACGGTCTCTGATTCCGAGCCATTGCCAGAGTACTGGCTATGGCGACTGACTGACTGCGTGAGTGCGTATGTGCGTGCGTCTCTTGGCACAGTGCTCCTGGCTCCGCCGCTGCACGCCCCATCTGAGCGCTCGACTCAATCCCCTGCTCTGCCTTCGCTCCCACAGGACCCGTACCCGCGATCCATTCCCATGGTGGAGTCCTTGTCGTCCCTTTTGAAATCTGTGAGGTCTGTTTCTGTCCTGATTCGGCTAAGTTCGTAATTTGAAGCTGTTCTTGGCTCGTAGTGGCGTTGGTGACGGGAATTGCAATTGGCGGGAATTGTGTTTGGATTCTTGCTCTTGATTTTTTTTGTTCAAGGAGCGCTTGATTGTGCGCTGAAGTGAAGTCGATGATCAGAGGGAGTGTCGATTTGGTTGTAGGTTGCGGGGAGCGTAGTGTTTTGGAGAGGGGATATTTGGCTTAAAAGTGGAGGGTATGGAGGCTGCTAATCGCAGGACATGTGGTTCGATCGGCCTCGATGATCGATTCGATCGTGGCGTTTTCACGGGAGGCGTGGCGTAGATTACATAGTTTAGTAATTGAGGGAGTTTTGCAGTAATGCTCTTGGAATACAGGCCAAATGAATCAACGTTTCCAAAAGGTGCTTGTTTCAATAAAATCTTTCACCAAATTCGAGGGAATAAAACTCCTCCAAGTCGCACAACCGTGTAATGCTTTCCGGATGGCATGGACAGGACAGACCGTGCGGAATTATTAATGTTGCGTTTGAGTTCTTGACCTTTGCACGAGTGATAACTCACTTAATTGATGAAGGTCTAGCTCTTTATCAGGGTTAATGTTTTGGACTTACCGATCATGGAAAAGATGCCCATAGAAAATTGGATCAGCTCTAGACTGCGTGCAGCAGAGGCCATGATCAGGAGCATGGAAACGCATGTGCGCCTTCTTGAGAAACAGAGGGATTATCTGAAGGTGTGGAAAAACGATCAGCTCCAAATTTTGGAAGAGCAAGTGAAACACTTGGAACGTCAACGTTGCTTCTTGACCCTCTGGAAGCCGGATGTGCATTTTGGCCTGGACTCCAAGAGTTCACATGTTGATGTCCAGCTGGTGGCAAAGGATGAGGGGCGTGTCCATGCACACAAGGCTATCCTGGTTAGGCTTGTCTGCTCCTGTTTGTTAGGCTTCAGTTGCAGTTTGTTTTTCTCGCATTTGTCTATCGTGGTACGATCGCATTGGTGTGATTGTCGAGGCCTTTGTTTTGAATTTTACATTTTAATATGCTTGTGTTAAACTTATTATATTTGAGCTTGGTAGAGGGATTGCCAAATTCCTATGCTCTAGTGTAAGCATTAAATGGGATCTCTGCGGCGACCAATTCTTGATGTATGCTTGTAAACTCGGTTTGGTTGTCTCTGAAGATTCAGCTGCGTGTTTTGTGCAGGCGGCTAGATCTCAAGAGTTTGAAAAGCTCTTTCGTGCTGAAATCAAAGACGGCATTATTGAAATTGCTGATATGTCCTATGAGGAGCTGAGCGCATTTGTTAGGTTTTTCTACACAGCTTCAATTGATTCTAAGTTATTGGTGAAGCATTCTTCATCCCTTCTGCAAGCAGCTGATAGATATAAGGTTAATTTTCTTCGGACAGTCTGCGAGGAGGCTTTAGTGACCAATATTTGCAAGGAAAATGCTATCTCTATATTTGTAGTTGCAAAGAAACATTGCTCTGAGGCCACCTTAGAAGCCCTGCTAAACGAAGCGACAAGCATGGGGGAGTTATCAACGTTCAACGAGTATAAACAGTACTGTCAAACGGATGCCAAATTGTTGTTGGAGCTATACGAGAAGTTCTTAGAAGTGAAGAAGGCCAGTAGTTCCAAAAAACGCCGCACCGCTGTTGCCAAAGGGTGTTCAGAAGCGAATGCAGGTGTTTATTTACCTTCCCGCAAGTCTGGTGAAGTGTCACGACCTGCCGAGAACGTCGCCGGGGAGCCTTATGTTGAGATATTTGGGTCCAATATATTTGAGACAATGAATGAAAAAGTGGAGGCAGATGGACCAGTAGAAGACAACGAGAAGGGTAAGGACAAAGTAAAGGGATCTAATTCGGATGGTGGGAGGAAGAAAATGAAAGATAACAGAATCCCTGGTACGTTGAAGTACGAACACGGCATGTCTTTTACGAATGTATTATACTGAAGCAGGTTATAATCTTGTACGGAACTTGATAATATTTATGTTCGATGAATATCATGCTTAGAGGGTTACATTGCCTGACTTTGGTTATGTATTTCTTAAATTTTGAATTGATATGGCGCATTCTTGGGACAGGGAGGACACCTATGCCTTTTGATACGCCCATGGTGCAAGGCTCGCCTTATGGATCACCCCACTTCATGCCTTTCTTCATGCCTCCTTGTATGCCAGCTATGTACCCAGGCAATCCAATGCTTGCGTGAGTACATGATTTCCTCCTGGTTGTGGGCCAATTTTTTTTGAGTTTTTTTCCTGATTGATGTGAATCTATGCAGGTTACATATGTTTCTGTACATTAATGTTGTTCTTTCTACTTTGTCAAAATAGTTTGTGGTGCCTTGACACTTCGTGCAAAGTATGTACTTTCAATCGTTATTCGTATCTTCACTTTCCTCACACCAAACCTGGCGACGAATTATCATCTTGTTCCAGGTTTTTCAGTGGGCAGAGGCCTCCAATGTTAATGCCTTCAGAACCATCTAGCAATTTTCTAAAGCCATTAGCGTTGAAAAAAGGTATGCTGTATCGATGCTGTTTTTTCTGAGTTTACGATGCTTTTTTTAGTAACACGGTTGAATTGGTTTAATCTGCAATTTTACATTTGTACTGTAGAGTGTTTCATCATTTGTTGATCACTGTTTGGATGAGTTTAAAAAAACGCTATTACCGTACACATCTAGTAGATTCTTTTGTTTTCACATCGCACATTCTAACACAATTTCAACAGAGTATCAAACTAAGAAGGTGCCATCACTAAATAAGAAGTCGAAGGAAGCCAACGTCGTATCCACTCTACCACAGGGGATCGTCTGGAAGAAGAAACAATACAGAGCTTCAATAGTTGTGAATGGGAAAACTCATGTCTTAGGCAATAGCAAGAGTTTAGAAGAGGCAACACACATGTATGACCGGTAATCTTCTCTTTCATCATCATTCTTTCACCTTGTTTTAGGAAAACTGCCAAACATTAGATTCCTAGATTTTTATTATGACTTGTTCATGTTTCGGAGTATCAAGTTAATTGGTTCAATCATCTATCTGGTTTCTGGAGATGGAGATGAACTGCAATATTCTGCTCTGAGCGTATGCTGTCAAGATGGGAGTGCGGATTTCGTCATGTTCTTGGTTTCACTCAATCTCTATTCGTTCTGTTTTGTTTAGTTTTGTTTTTCTTCCTCCTGATGTCAGGGCTGCATATGTGTGCGGAAGGGGAACGAATCACGAACTTCCAGAGAAAGAAAAACAAGAGCTGGAGGGATTATTATGGGAGGAGTTTTTGGATTTTCCCAGAGAGTCACAGAGTAAGCTGGGTGTCCTAGGCTCCCTCTGAATTTCTCTTCCGAAATCTTACCATTTTAATGAACGTGGTCTGGTATCATGATATGAGGTAGGAGTACCTATTCCCTGACTTTTCCTAGTTCCGTCACATGTACTGATCGCATTCCTCCTAGGATGCAAAGCTAGGCATCCACATGTATAGGAATTGGGAGGGTAACACTTTTGCTAATGCCTACCTTGTGTGTAATTTTGAGTTCTCATTTTCAATGAAGGGAATTAGTCGAGGTTGTGCCGGAATAGCTGTCTCTATCCTTGTGAATGTCGTCAGATTCTAGTGGCTCTGTATATCCTGTGGCGAGTACAACTCATTTGTAGAACGTACATCTTGCAGATGAGCAAAAGCAGGGTAACTCTGGCGTTGGTGAACTATCGTCAATTCTACCTCAATCCTGGTTAGAGGAATACTAGCTACACTCCATTTCAAGCATGGTAATCGGCACTGTTTTTCAGGTAATTTAGTTATAAAATGCCTTTTCATTTCAGATTTTTTTGGTTTTTTCAATACTGGATCAAGGTAGTAGAATCAATGTTGATGAGATTGTATGCCTCAATATGCTCTTTGAGAGAGGAAGCTGTCTTGGTTGCATTTTGTCCATCTAGGTCAATTTCCTGATCAATTTTGGTTCACTGAACATATTTTAAGAGCATGTTCTACCTCTAGAACAATTTGCCCTTCGGAACAATCTTGTCAGCATTCATTCAATCATTTTGATAAGATTGCGTTGATTTAGCGTCCAATTCGCATTTATTGTGTAAGGTGCACCTGCTGTGATGTTTTTGTTGAGCTCTTTGCTTCAAGTATTTCTTGTACTCGCCAGCTATAATCTTGAGTCAAGTCTTTCCTTTTGTCTGTATGCACCCAATTATCCTGAACGGAAACACAAAATGTTCCCGTGGAAAAGCCAGAGAATTTGAGCTCCCAAATGGTTCTCTGAAACTTTTGCAGAATTGTTTTGGCGGAGATATTGTACTTGGACAATGGGGGACTATCATGACAAGGGGGCCTGCAAAATACGAAAGCTGTAAATGCCCTTGACAGGTGTTGTAACATCACCCACTAAGTAAGATTGCATTTCTGATGCATTATCTGCAAACAAATGTGAAATGTTGATGCGATTCTCCTCGGGGTGTTGCACTGGCATGGTTGGTGGCAGGCACTGTACCAATATTGCACTCTTTATCCGTAGAGATGAAATGAAGAGCTTTACAGGAAAAGCATGGATAGAAACAAGCGGGTAAGATGCTCCTTAAACAAATTGATCATTTCTGGTAATTTTTTTTTGCGATTTTATAGTGTTGTCGCATTTTGAGTACATGTTAATAGAGACAAAGTTCTCCGTATTCTCCACGATTAACTCCTGCAAAGGTTCTTTAGTATTTTTTCTTCATGAATTCTGTGAGATTAAATTGAAAGGTGATGCATTTAAGGACTAACATCCCCCAATGTCGTTACACTAATGTTTTGTTGGATAGACTCAAATAAAAACTGCTCTCTATTCACTATTCTTTTATCGGATGCAAACTGTGAAGAAGAATTTGAAAAGGTCCTTATTTTCCAGACTTTGGCTGTGGGTTCAAGAAGAGCGTAGCCTGAAAATTCTGTGAGGAAAATGAAAGCATTGTGTCGAATATCCAATGGTGTGAGAGTTTCAGTCTCATGAATCCAACCTCTGTAGACTTCAGCTATCTTGCGGAATGTTTAATTGTGCACAATGTTGCATTTAATTTTTCTCAATCTGTTCGGACTTGAGGATGTTGCACGTGCTATCTGATCATCTTCATTGTCAAAAATGCGCTTTTTCTTTCTTTTTTCTTTTTTTTTTTTTTTTTTTTTTTCTTACGATGGATTTCCGTTCTGAATGCAGAGCTTATTTTGTCCTCTCTAGAATCAAAATGTATTGTTGGTTCTAAACGGATACGAAGAATATTTTGTTGAAGGGCAAAATTCTATCAATTCGTGGTTCTAAGGTTTTGCACCCTTTCATATTTAGATTTAACATTAAGACTCCTTTATATGTGTAGAGGTGCACAATGAGGTGTTTCAGACCTTGGGATGTCAAGTTAACCCACTAACGGCATTTAGGAGCTGGATTGGGGTAACAGATATTGACCTTGAAGCATTGTCTTAATCAATGTATTATACACAGTTTTGGATGTATAGCATTTAGATGTTTCATTTCCTTATTGTTGTAAAGTTATTAAAAGCTTTCGTTGTATCAAAAGCAGTATTATTGTTCTTCTATAAAGATTATAATTATAAACAATGACTTTTGTAAAATTCATAACATAGTTTGAATTTAAGATTGGGAGATTAGAGTCATTTGGTAGTATTTTTAATAAAAATGATTTTAGATTTTTCTTAGAATAACATCTTTAAAAATATGATTTTAAAAGTAATAATAAAAAAAAAAGTATGCTTTTATTTGTAATAAAAATTTTATGAAACAATTTCCAGGTGAAAGACATTATGCAGTTTCAAACCTATATAGTAATATACTAATTATATATCACTGCTCATAGTCAAAAATCAGTGATGTTTGTTTACACTCACATATTTATTTGAGTTTTGATAAGATGATAGAGTTTTGATATATATATATATATATATATATATATATATAATGATCATGAATTTATGAGAATTTTTAATCCTAATTAAAAAAATATATTTAATAATTAATAAACCTATTTATTAGTATAATTAACATATGACTATGATCAGTGATATATAATTTTAAACATTGTTAGGATTTAAAATTATAGGATACATTTTGATATGACCGACGATTCATCTACATTTCATCCACGATTTTTGACCGACGACCTCAATTCTGTATTCATTCATTCAAAGCTACAAACGAAGTTTGTGCCTAACAGAGGGTGAAACAACATTCATTCATTCTTAAGCTTTAATTTGCGATGCTGCCATCGTGCAAGCTCTCCTCAAGTTTGGTTGCTTCAACGTCGGCTTGATTGAATGCTGGGCGACGTCGCGAGGGAGAGCGAGCGGGAAGTTGGAGATTTTCTAGAGCTCGTACATTGTGAAAGATGGGCAAATCAGAATTTTATTGGTTGTCATGTACAGATTAGGAATTGATTTGCGGCGTTAAGTTGAGGATTTGTTTTTTGTTTTTTTTTTTTTTTTTTTTTGAAGTTGTTGTAGTTGTTGTTGTTGTTGTTTGTTTGTTTGTTTGTTTGTTTTGTTTTTTTTTTTTTTTTTTTTTTTTTCTGCTGAGGTTTCACTTTCAATTGGAGTGGATCTTGCTTTGCAGACGGTGTTTCATAAGAAATCTGCAGCAATTGGAATGACATGTATTCTTTGGCAGGGTGTATTGATATTAGCTTTAGTTTTGGCTGAAAACCTTCAAATCGTCTCTCTCAAATTATTACCAGTTTTGGACAGGTTTACAGCCGAGCGAAGTGCATGATTGATTGGATTCTTTAGAATTATATGTTGCGGGGTGTCCTAATTCTATGGAAAATGCACATCATTATGAATAAATCGACATCACGGTGACATGAAATGCTCGGAACTTGCGTGAATTGATGGTAAAGAACTCAATACAGCCAACTCATTCACTGCTGAATACATCTGAACGAATCGATTGTAAAATAATACATGGTGGTTTGTAAGAACCTATTAGTCAAGCCTAGAATCTAGTTCATATCCTCTCTTGGTGCAACGCACATATAAGCTTGGTAATCATTACAGTTTTAAGCATTTTACCTGGAAGGTGTATCTCTCCAAGCTAATTGTGTACTTGTCTCTACCGTTGGAGCAGTCTCGTAGTTGTTGCTGCATCTGTACCGTTTTGTTTTCTGTCTAATCACGGGCGATTAATCTCTTCCTCTTTGTTACCATCCTGATTCATTGTATCTCTATATTGCTCAGACAATGAATCAGGATGGTAACAAAGAGGAAGACATGATTCTTGTATTGCCCGATTTTCGCACCATGGTCAGGATGGCGCTCACCGCCTCTTTGATATCGCTGATTCTTGTCGTGGCGCTACTCTGTGTTCAGGTCAGTTCTTTCTCCACTCTCTTACTGTTCGCTAATGGTTGTTTTCGATATGATTAAATCCTGTTTTTATAATTCAGAACTTTTATATTAGTAGCTAGGGGGTGAACACATTGTTCTGAAGTATGAATTGAGGATAATTTTGCCTTAGGTAGGTGAGCTCTGGATTCTTGACTTTTAAATGTGTCTGTTTGAAGTTACTGTATTGGTTTGATTTTGCAAGTCATGGAAGATTTTACTTAATGTACCTTGATTTTGTGAGATTCGGCACATGATTTTCATTGTCATGCTTAGATTTTTGTGTTTCTATGTACCATCTAGTAAGAGTTCTGGTGATGAAATTCTTGCTGGACTTTCAAAACTTATCCAGTCTTTGAGATGCTGTGCGCTATTGCTTAAAGCTTTGAATTTAAGAGGTTTTTGATGTCATGTTGAATTGGGATTCGTTCACAGTCCCCATATTTTACAAGGACAACCTCCTAGTACGCCTAACAGACTATAGGTAGCTCATTCGGTTCAAGTAGCTGATATGAATCTGAAACGAATTATATAATTGCATGAAATGGAGAGGTGGCTCGTGATGGAAAACCATGTTTGCAGTGCGGATTGCATTTTGACATGCATTATGCGCACGCTGGCAGGCTATGTCCCCGAAGGAGTTGGACGAGGTCACACACAAGGTTTACTTTAATATCGAGGTTGATACTGTACCAGTTGGTCGAGTGGTGATTGGTCTTTATGGCAAGGCTGCTCCCAAGACAGTTGAGAACTTCCGCGCGCTTTGCACTGGGGAGAAGGGAAATGGTCAGGGCGGAAAGCCTCTAGACTTCAAGGGCAGCATCTTTCACCGCATTATCCCCGGCTTCATGATTCAAGGTGGAGATATTACTCATGGCAATGGTTATGGAGGAGAGTCAATCTATGGAGCTAAGTTTGCCGACGAAAAATTTACCTTGAAGCATTCCGGTCCAGGCATTGTGTCAATGGCAAATGCTGGACCGAACACTAACGGATCGCAGTTTTTCATCTATACTGTGAAAACCAGCCGGTTGGGCGGCAAGCATGTCGTCTTTGGGAAGGTATTAAGAGGTCTTGATGTCGTGTATAAAGTAGAGGCCGAAGGATCATCAAGCGGAACACCCGAAAGGAAAGTAGTTATTGCTGATAGTGGTGGGATTCCTGTTTGATGTGGCTTCTTTTATTTTTGATCGTGAGAGTAGGGTAGTGGTACTGTGATGCATACAAGATTTGTAAAACCAAAATGGATGCCCATCCTGGGTCACAAAGACACATGTTACAAAAACAGTGAATTGAAACTTTCATGATTCTAACTTTTTGTCTCTATGTCATTGATTTTCTCATCTGAAGGTACAAAACAAAGTGCCTGTGCAAGTTTATTCTAACTTTCTATAACCTTTTCCATGTTTGCAAAATAGGATGCTAAATGTGACTCCCGCGAAGCTACACCTGATAGGTTCTTAAAATTCTGACTTTGACATCCATTACCGCTTGGGTTTTAGTGGCTAGCTGTGTTAAGATTTTCCTTCCTTCCCATCAAATCAAGGAGCTTATAGACGATAGGTCACGATTAGAAGTTGGGCATAGGTATCCTCGGTAGGAACGTGCTCTGATGGTGGAAGTAGGACGTTCTGCGATTATTAAACTGAAGGACCTTGACCAGTGCGTGCAAAGGTGCTCTCTGTTGCCATCCGGCATCGCAGCTACTATCAAAGATTCAACAAAGACAAGAATAGTTACAGCAGCATCAGTAAACCAGGCTCGAGAGAAAATCCATTGCTGGAGACCTCTGACGTCCAAGGGGTTACCCGAGCAAATTGAGGGATGACGCGGCGAGCAGTGCTCCAAATTGAGCAGTCACTCACAGGACCCACCTTCACCTTTCGTCTCTCTTTATGGAACACAGTTAGGCAATCACAAATATGTTTTTTCTGAACATTTGACCACCCTTGATTTGATATTTTTTTTCGAGATCCTTTCTATTCACAAAAGAAATCAATGAGCAAAAACTGCTTTCTTCTCTCTGCACTATTTTTTTTGTTATTGTGCTACAAAAGTGGCGATAAAACCATGTATAATTTCCAATGCAGCTTTTTCTTCCTCAAAGTGAGACAAAATTAGAGGACAGTATATGTAAAATTTATCCGTTTGACACTTGAAACTTCCTTTGCTTATTGTTGTGGTGGTTCTCCTCTACGACTACATGAAGCAAGTAACTCTCTGCTACTATTGAACTTATTTCTCAAGTCCATACCTTCATCGTACGCTGAATAGCGATAGTTCATAGCTTCTTGGGCCGGATATGAAATACGTATTATATGCACAGAAATGCTTCATGGTCGACAAGTTACCGCAACAAAGCCCTTGATGCGGGAGCTTGAGTTTATCACATCATTCAAACCACTTAGTGGCTCGCCAGGCTGGCCATTATTGACACCATGAGGCAAAAGCATCATATCCCGCCTCGAGGAGTTGGGCGTAAATACCTTCACGACTAGGACATGGGCAGAAAATTCCCGCTAATAAGTGGTTTACAATGCGCATAGAGAAGGCGCTCGGAATGTGAAGACAAGTATCCCCCCTCAAGAAAGGCTACCGTACTCTAAAATAATATGCCAATGTCTAGAGATAGCGCGAAAAAAGAACCATATCCCGCCCCGAGAAGTTACAACCGGACAAAAATCCCCCATCGAGGAGGGGAAACTCGGCATCTGCCCAAGTTCCAGGAGTAAACCATCTTCTACAAGTAAACCATTCTCAACTACTGGAACTAACATCTACCGCTATATGCGCTCTTTGAGATACTTGTTACGCTGTGTTCTCACTCCTCCTGAATGTTACGCATTCCAGCTTCTGTCCTGGAAGAATTGGTTTCGGGTGCTACCAGCAGCTCGCACAGCCGTGCTCAGCTAAATGATCGACAGACCAGATGTGGGAAACCCAGCTGCTAATAAACGTTCATTGGGTATCCCCCAAGTGAGGGAAAGTGGACCAATGGCACAGTGGGGCTTTGTCATGGTTTCTAACAAAACGAAGCTCTAGTACATGCGCGGCAGTTAATCAATACAACTCGGGAATTCCTCTACTTTCTCATGCGCTGGGGATGTAGATTCCGAATGCTGATCAGTAACATTCTTCCATCAAGCTATTTGGCAAGACTGCCATCGAATATTCACACCCAAGTGGTCGCTGTAGCTGCATGATGAATTGCTGGAGAATGATGACTGTCGAAATTCGATCTGTGGTAGAAACGATTCTCACAACTCTGTTACTGCGGAGCTTCGCATGGTGAACTGGAAAATGCTCTGTTTGGGCCTCCACAATATATAATGGGCTGCTACTGGGTCTTCATCTTCAGTTTTCTACGTTCTTCTTCGTCTTAGTGGTCTGGGCTTCTCCAGTTCTTTTCTTTATTTCCTTTATCGAGGCTCTTCTTCAGCACGCCGGGTTCTTTCCCAGAGGTGAGTGGCGAATCACGTTTCCGAGGCTTTCATCTCGCGGAGAAACTTTCGGTCACGGTAGGATGCTTGCTAGAATTCTCATCCTTTGTTGCACCAACAGCCGCCGGTGACGGTGGCGGTGACGTTGAAGACATGTACCGAGCAAAATGCATGGTTTGTTTGTTCTGAAACCATATCGTTGTGGACACTTTTGATGTGGAGATTTTGTGGTGCAGGACTATCACGATGGGTTACCCATCTGCAGGTACGAACGCTACGCCGAAGGAGCTGGGCTACACCATGCCAGGTGAACTCGGTCACCTTCACATATGGCTTTCTGGTACCGACGGTGGACGCAAAGATCACTGAAGATGGTTTAAGCTGTGTAGAAGGAGAATCTGGCGCTAATTTGGGTTGAAATTGTGGGAGGTGCAGGCGAGTTTGAAAAGCATGCAGGATGCTGGATGGGATGGCCTTACGACGGCAACCTGTGGCGGGAGAATGCCAAGCCCGCCCAGGCACAGTACGCCGCCATCGCAAAGGCCATCTCGGAATTCGAACCGCTGACAATGTTCGCACACCCTGGCGAGGTGAGGAGCTCGTTGCCACCTTAACCATCTCTCAAATCTCTTTCAATCTGCCATGCGCCTGATATAATTCTCTTATCGGGAATTTCACCGACTAGTTCTGCATTGGTACCCTTGTTGTGCGATCGTGCAGCCTGCAGAAGTAGCGCGCGAGTATTTCGAGGACGCACCTAACGTGACGGTTGTGGAGCTGGAAATCGAGGACGGCTGGACTCGCGACTGGGGACCATCGGTGAGAAAACCAAATTATCGTGACCATAGCTTTAGTTTTGAAAACTCCTACTTAGTTGCAATGATTAATTGCAATGATTCGTTTCCGGTGCAGTGTGTCGCTAAGGACGATCCCGTAACTGGCAAGCGGATTGTGGCCGGAGTACACTGGGACTACGATTGTTATGGCGGCCTTCTCAAGCGCAAGCTGGGATTACCCACCATGATGCCCAGCTGGGACAAAGATTACGCTGCGGGGCGAGCGTTACTAGAGATGAACGGGCTGGAGGTTTTCGAGGCTCCGATCCATCTGGAGGGTGGGTCTATCCACTCTGACGGCGAAGGAACACTCATGTGTACCGAAGAGTGCCTCCTCCATCCTTCCCGTAACCCTCACCTGGGCAAAGAGGGCATTGAGAAGGTGCTCAAGGACTACCTTGGCTTGGAGAAGATTATTTGGTTCTGGCGAGGGATCATGGGCGACGACGGTGTCGTGAACGGGCATGTGGATAATTTCTGCTGCTTCGTACGCCCTGGTGTAGTCCTCTTGGCCTGGACCGACGACAAGGACGATCCTCAGTATGAAGTTTCCATGAATGCTTACGAGCGGTTGTCGAACACCACAGATGCGAAGGGGCGCAAGCTGGAAATCATCAAGCTTCCCCGCCCTCCTCCCCTCTTCAGGACCTTCAATGAAGCCAACGGCCTGGCTGTTAGCCCCTTGAACCGACCTTAAATCTGCATCTTTTTCCGTGTACTAGACATTGCGTCGGCAATGTAGTGAGCAGAAAGATTTCGAGTTTGTGAGTTCATTCGCAAGTATCTGTTTGGTGTTCATTTTCTTCTTCGTGGAACTTACACAACGGAGCTGGCTTGTGATGATGATGCGTGCAGGAGGGTTATGTTGAGAAGGGCTACGTGCCGCGTATTGCAGGAGAGAGGTTACCCTCGACTTACATCAACCACTACTGCGCCAACGGTGGCGTGGTGGTACCCCAGTTCGGAGGTGTTGCGGCGGAAGCTGATAAGAAAGCGTTGGAAATAATTCAGGAAGCATATGGTCCCGACTACAAAGTGGTGGGCGTGAGCTCGCGGGAGGTGGTATTAAATGCGGGGAACATCCACTGCATCACTCAGCAACATCCGGCAGCGTGGTGATTGTTGACAGGGACTCTACCTACAATGGTCGTTAACACGAAACTATCAAGCTTTGCGCATCACCTAATATATCGCACAAATCAGGGCCTCGGAGATGTAGATGTCTGTTGTAATTCGATTTGGATGAATCGTACCATGTTTATGATTAATAATATATTTAGCTCATAATGACCTGTTTTTGGGCACTTCGTGATCCACTTCCCAAGTCTGGTTGCGATAAATATTCTGGGTGTTCTGCAAAAAGCTCGAAAGCAAGGTCCCCGTTTTAATAACTCCTTTGTAACAGGTTAGACCGGTTAATTTCCACGCAGCAGAGTGCTTCCCTTGCAATACAAAGCCATTCATGTCAAACTGGTACCTCAACATCACAAAACCTTTGTTGCCTCCCAGACAGCCTGCTGACGGGGAAGGAAAATGATCCACTGAAAGGTATTGGAGAGGAGCATCGCCTAATCAAAGAAACTTGGCAGGTTCACATTTATTTCATTGGGCTGAGAAGAATAATTGGCTGCATCGGACTTTAAGACCAGCAAGGTTATATCCAACGTTGATATGGTCACCCTTTCCTACTGCAAGGACAAGATACAGCACGTGTTTCCTCTTCACTCGCACAGCAATTCTACATCACCACTGCAGGTGCACCTCGGCAAGTCACCACAGGGATCCACTCACTTAGGCTGATAAAACTAAAAATCTATCAATTTAGCTCGTACGTTCATCCAACCGCTGCAGCCATCCCTCTCAGCAATGTCCTCATCCTCGTCGACGATCTCATGCAAATTCGTGTGCCCTCGGAAATAGACCAAATAAACTCCAGGACCCTTCATTCTACAGGGATACTTCTGTTCCTCAATCCTATGTTGAATATATGTAATACAATTCTTTACATGTCACCACTTTTTTTTAGTAGTCTTGGCAGTCTATCATCGATTGTGAATAAGATGCACATGGATTGATAGTAACCCTTCAAATCATGGGTCGCATAGGATTCAGCTTCAAACAGGCGTAATCCAATCGCTGAGATCGATTTACAGGAGCGCATAAAACGGGAAAGGTGGCCACATGAATCCTTGGGAAACAGTAAGGAATGCACTGCTGGGATCACCTTGACTGGCGCTCTCGATCAATCGCAAGCTCGGTGCAGTGGAGGCACACTAAGGGGCTGTGCAATCACCAAGTAAAAATAATATAAGAGAGAAACTATGATTCAAGAGAGAAGTCTGGCTCAGCTGGTTTAGGAATGTTGGAGATTCTCGCAAGCTCGGCTGCTTGCATGCTGCGCAGCCGCTGCACTCCCCGCATTGCATTCTTAGCAAACTTTCCGGCCAAAATGGTTGCGCCCAAGCTGTGCCCGTCTTGATTCCGTCCAGGTTCGTCTCGCAATGCTTCGTCTAAGAACTGCTCCCCAGGACTATGACGAAGCTCCGCCAATTTTCGTCGCTGGTACCTTCGCCAAGCCGCTTGAATGTAAGACGACGCCCAGGTTCGCCAGTGATGGGAATAGTATCGAAACGTGTGTTGTAGCTCCTTGCTGTGAAGACGTCGGAACTGACTGGCAACGAACTTGAGGTCTTCTGAGGAGAGAGAAAAGGCTTCAACTTCCGTTATGGCCTTCACGGTATGGGTGGAGATGGGCAGATGGTTCTGTGGCTTAGGATCTAACGCCCATGTGAGAAGCTCCTCGCCGCAGAAGGCACCAGCTTTTAGGACGCCGTAGTTGATGAAGCCGGAGCGCCCTCCATTCGTAGTCATGCTCTCGAGGGTGCCGCGGATGATGAAGAGCATTTCATTGACGGGATCGCCCTCGCGGAGGATGATGGTGCTCTCGGTGCAGAGGGCAGTCTTGAGCCGCTCACACATGGCGTCCAGCAAGCTCTCGTCCATTTGGTCGAAAAATGGCACCTAACGAGGAAATATAAACAAACAAATAAATAACCACTTGGTTTCAGCCATTGCAGTGGGTGTGGCAAACTTGTAGTCCTAAACGCACCATTGGCGTGAAGAGTTTGATGATAAAGCTTACATTGCGGACAAGGTTCAGACAGAGATGGCGTTTGATGTCCCTGCGAAGATCTGATGGCAAGCTTTGAACGAGCACCTCCTCATTAACGCCTCGCGTTGCCACCCACTTGTATTGGTCATAACGTCGGACTCGCTGCACAATATCCTGGGGCAAGTTGCGGTGGCGCATCCACTGCTCTGAATCACGACGCTTCACTCTCATCTCCTCTAACCTCAACGTGAGAGATTGAAGGTACGTCTGATAAACCCACCCAAGAAGGCCATCGATGGTGAGTGAGCTCTTGAAAACCCTGAACTTTTCATAAGAGTAATTCTAAAGATGGGAAGAATATTAGAAATGGAACCTTACTTGCATGTTACCGATCAGGATGGCGAAGAGTAGCAAGCCTGCAATGATGATGAGGATGTCGAAAATGATTTCCCACACGTACGTGCTCACTTGCAGGGTTTGCGTCAACGAACTGAAACACAATAGACGCGAATCAGACTGTGATAATCACCTCAAAAGAATACATAATGTCCTCATACATCCTAAACCTAAACTCAACACTAAACGTAGAGCTTGGTACAAAACCTACCATGTGCTGTGCAAAGCAATCGTTATAAAAAAACCTGGCTACATAGACGACCATACATCTAGTTTTAGAAGCCAACCATAGGGTTTGGGGTTTGAAGGGCAAACCACTTACCTCAAAGCTAGCAAGCCAAGCCACAAACTGTAAAAGTATCTCGTAATGAATTTTGTGGAAGTGATATCGTTATCAATCGCATTAGAGTAAATTCCATAATTAAACTGAGCACTGGTACAGTTTGAAGCTAGAGTAGTGCTTTGAGACCATGTGTTACGGTCAGGGTTTGTGAGAGAGAAGCAGTCCAGAAAAACTCTTTGACAAGAAGGTTCGCTGTTACACACTCCTGCCCAACACTTTTGCTGCTGCTCAACCGCCAGCATGTACCAGCAAGCGCCCACAACCTGCAAGCGAGTGATCACAATTTCCAAAAAATAACTGAGCGATTCTCCCACGATCATCTCTGGATAACAATCAATCAAGATTTTTAACATGGTGGACTTGAGGGTAGAGAGGAACTTACATGGCTCGCAAGCATGTAGAGGAGGAGGTTGAAAGCGGCTCCAGCCCAAGCCGTTTCCATGAACACCCCAGTTGTGTTGATGATCTTGGACGTCAATGGAAAGAGACGAAATAGGCGAGGAAGGTACTGGAGGAATACAATAAATCGAAGAGCTTTCTTCGTGGCGAGTGACGGCGTTGAGCTGTTCATGCTTGGAATTACAACCCATATCACAAACTGCCATGGCCAAATGAAGGAAATGCTCAGAAGGGTGAGCAATGGACAAACCCCTAAAGCCTCAAAGCCACAAGTATAGATGACCATGGTGAGAGACTAACCTGCGGGATTGGCAACACGGCCAAAAGATCGAGCCAGAAATCTTTTCTTAAGTAACGGATGGCGATCTTCTTAGGATCCGTGACAAGGTCACCACGTCCAAAAACACGAGAAGAAGGGGCAATGTAGGCTGTTTTGAACTGAAGAAACATATGGATCATGTACAAGAAATCAGTAATCGTCCGGAATACGGTGACAGATTTTTTGAGGCCAACTGATATTCCAATGCAGTTCTGCTCGTTGTTGACGTAAGGGAGGTAATAAAAGAGCGGATCCACGAAGATGGCCACCAAGCAGGAGAACACGAAGAAGGTGTTCCATCGGTGGAGGGACTGGCTCGCGGGGTCCAAGTATGTCTTTTTTCCAGGCTTGGGATCGCTTTCGTCGTAAGCTTGAAAGTAGCTTTTGAACTTCAAGCTGTTGCCTAGACGGAAAATGCCCAGGGAACCCTTCTCCCACCCCCGCCCACCCGAGGAACCGCGTGCATTCACTGTAAATTTTTGGTTGCTCTGGTTGAGTGGTACATTGCTGTCGGAATTGTATCCATCGTTTGAGTCAAGGTCAGCCCGAAACCTGGCAAAGACGATCCACAGTTTTGTAAATCCTTCACAGACAAGACCAGGTCCAAGAGTACCCTAGATTCAAAACTGTGCTTACCTCACGAATCTCTTTGTCTGGCCATCCATTTTCAGCACCTTTGTCGTCAAACTACGCATTTTCAAACGCACTGAGACCTAAAGTAATGCTCGCCACGCATCGATTGGCTGCTCTTCAAAGGTTCATACGCAATCTCCATCAAAACGCTGAAGGATAAACGCCACTCTAGCTCTGCACACGTACAGCACACCTGAGACTAAGAATTGCGTGCTTGTGCCGACCAAACATTCAACAACACAGTCGGAAGCCCAGTATCACACACTGCAATTCTCCCAACTTGATCGAAAGCGCTAAAGAATATGTGAAGAACTGAAAGACAAGAACAGCAATAGCCTGAAGCTGTCCTGTGTTGCGCCAGTCAGTGACGAAGGACCTTTTCATAGCTGTCATTTGCGCAATCAAAAACATAACTGCTACCGATTTTCTGAAACTCATCCAACTCCGTCAGCACTTGTCTTCTGCACTTCAACCAAGAGAATACACCTCGCTAGTACAACACAATTACTGAAATACACGACTGATTCGTCTCTCAGCCACGTGTTGCCATGCTCAACCTTTCTAAGAATTTGGAACTAGAAATCCCTGCACGCATTGTGAGGTCACCAATTTCAAGCTCACCACACGACCTTAAAGATCGACAGTAGTCTTTTTCTCAACCTGTTTTTGAATTTGAAATCGGTCATCCTTAGGTCGATACTCCCAAAACCTAGCATGTTCAATCCCAACCTTCACCACCTCAACAAAACAACCGAAAGGGCTTGTTCACAAATAATCCCAAACTACAACGTAATTCCAACCGAGCGAACTTGTTCAAAGCCTAAAAAAAACCCCCTCCTCTGCCATCCTCTAACTAATAACTCCCCTCACCCGAATCTGTCCACACAAATACACATTTTGTTCATGAAATAGGGTACAGCTTACTGCAAATGGGAGGCGCGGTTGGATTCCACGCCTGTGGGGATGGCAAGACGAAAGCAGCAAAACCCCGGCAACCACAGAAATCAGCGACAACCGAGCATGTGGGGAATCGACTCACTCACTCACTCACTCACTGGATCCGCCCTCTCCGGCGAGAACCCACAAAGCCGACCTCCTTCCTTCCTTCCGCATTCACAATGCAACCACAGATCGCGCACCCGTCGTGGGTTCACAACGCAATGCAATGCAGGAGGATGATTTCTACACAATACATACACCCATAAATAAAAATAGATCTGAGCATGGGTCGCCACCAGCGAGTTAGCTAGCTACGTTAGTGGAGGTGGGATCGGGATCAGCAGCTCCGACAATGACTCGCTCATTCACACACTCACACATTCACTCCAAGGATCTGGGTTGCAGTGAGTGCGAGCGGCGTCGACACTGCCATCGTCGCATCACAAAAAACACTGCATTCCGGAGTCAACGATAGAAAACTATGCGAGACGTGAAGCTCGTCCGTTCGTCCGTTCGTCCGCCAGTTTCTGCGCGACTGACGGAGCTGAACGAGGGAGAGCCATCGAACAGAATCGTCGACGAACGAAAATTTCCCGAGGCGCGGAAAGGCTCGTTCGTTAGTTAGTGGTGGAAGTTTCGGCTATAGGTTCACCTTTTGAGCGCTTTGTATTGTAGCCACAAAGACAGCATCCGGTCACCGTCACGCAAACCGCGTCCACGGTGCGTGGGCCAGCCCTATCACCGGCGAAATAAGTTGGAACTGCCATGGATTGCTCAATTGTGATTCAACTTTCGGTATCTATTTAATGGAAAGAAAAAAATAATTTTTAAATCCATAGAAAAAATATATAAAAAATACATACATACATACATACATACATACATACATACATATGTTTCCTATAATTCAATGTTTTTGTATTTACAATGATTATAATTTTTTTATTTTTTTATAAATGTAACATTAATTGTCTTTATTCTTAATTACTTTAGCTAGTGATGTCTTGTCATTGTAAAAGTGTTGCACTTACTCCAAAATTAAATATATTTTTCAGAATTATTTATTTTTTATAAATAATATACTTATGATTATATTTTAAATGATCAACTAAATATCTATATTTGTAAAAAAATGATTAGATATTACTAAATAATTTATGAAAAGATATTACTAAAGAAGAAGGAAAACAAAAAGTAATTAAAAATAAAAAATAAAAAATCATAGATATTAAACCAAGATTAGAAAAAAAAATTGATAAGATTAAACATGGTTTTATTCTTGCTTCTACACACACTAGTTAATGAAAAAGCTTTCCAAAAACTTCTTTAAAATTATGAAATTTGCAGTACAAGTACCTAAATTATGAGGCTCTACTATAATGGCTTTTTGCATTTATATGTCTTTATAGAAAGAAAGTTTTTATAACCCTATTACACATCTACAACTAATTATAAATCCAATCTATATCTAAGAAGCTTATTTAATCTTTTGTGACAGATATAATATCCATCCAATTTATTTCTATTAATTATTTTTTCTATCTAATTTTGATAGTTTAAATAATATAAATACATATACATATATCATAAAAGATGTTATTTGTTTTGAAGAATATTTATTTTCTATATAATATTTATAAAAAATTTAGAAATATTTTATAATCATTTTTTTAATTATATACATAATTAACTATATATATGTTATTATTATCATTGTTCTTATGTAAAAATATAATATATATTTTATTTCAAGTTTATAAATATATATATATATATATATATATATATTTTATCAGATCTAAAAAAATTAAATTTATAAGATATTTTAAATTCAATAAAAAATTATATACAATAATAATGACAATAATATATCACAAACATACATATTTATTCCAATAATTACTTTGATAATATGAATAGGTAGAAGTAGATTAAAGTAGATAAATTTGATAATATTTTGTAGAAAAGCTTTTGTCAAGGACATGAACCTCAAAGTAAGAAATCTTCAATACACTCTTATGCCACTGTCGTGTTGTAACACGAGTATACTGTGAAAATATAAAAAAAGAGGACTTTTATTAATGTTCAGTTACCTCGAATATTGGGAGCAACGACCGATTCTAGTACCAATATTCAGGGGCCAATTTCAGACACCCCATCACAGTCGGTCAGGGCATACTTACCAATAACGAAATGCTCCATTCGAGTCCAATAGTGGGAGTCAACAGAATCGAAAGGATTAAATCGATGACTGAGCGAGCCTGATGCAAAGGACTAATTTGACCCAATTACGGGAACATCCAAGTCTTACTATGGGCCTCTTAGCCAATATGAGACCTGATTTGGTCGGGCGACTCAATGTGGTCCCGATTACGGGGGTTTCGATTCCGTTTCAGGCTGTCCTATTCTCTATGCCATTTCAGGGAACGTTGTTTCCGAAAAAAGAACCTTTTAAAAGGCAAAAAATGGAGGAGAAAGCTCTGACGGTGGAGCCAATTTCAGATCCAAGATGGAAGATTGAAGAAATTCGGGGAATCTAAGGTGGGAGAATAGGATCTTCTCAGGGTTAAAGGGGAGGATAGGTTAAGAAATGAAGGGAGGAGAATTAGGGTTTTAAGGGTCAGAGAACTAGCTTCATGCTTCGAGGGGAGGAGGAAAAAGAAAGTGAATTAGAGTTTTTTTTTTTCTCATAGGGTTTTGAAGAAGACGGAGGCAATCGTTGCTAAAAGTCAGTGTTGTACTGGTGAATCGGGGTTTTAATGAAGTGGGTGTGATTATTCTTGACTGTTTTATGAAATCGAAGTTACGTCTGTGATTGAAGAATTAAAAGGATGTCTATAGGATTGTGTATGCAGAGTGAATGAAAATTTTTGGATTAATCTAACAAGACAATCAATGGATATAAGGTCGTGAGTATAAAGCGGTATCGGAGATTAGCAGATTGGGTTGTTCGGGGTTCTCTGTAACATCTATAGACCTACCGGCTGGGGCAAAAAGGATTTTGGCGAGCAGTTGAAGGACATCCATATAGATTTATAGTATGTTCTTATAATTATTTATATTCCAACAGTCAAAAACTGATAGACTGCTTGAATATTAGCGAATCTCCATACTACCTTCTACAACTAGACGTCTAGTGCGTTCTCGAGCAGGAAAGGACATAATATGATACTGCTCAAAAAGACTACAAGATCACTCAAAGATAGTAATATATTGAACTAGAATAGCTACTGCCAATGAGAAGAAGACTAAAAAGTCTTGAAAGAAGATTAAAGAGTAGAAAGGTATTGACAAGAGTAAAGAAGGCTTTATTCTTGCTTCTATGTATATTCTTAACTAGGAGCTACATGGCAATGTCCTATTGGACCTCCAAAACATATTGACTTTGCAAGATATATATCTAAATTTGTAGGACAAGTTTTTTATATGTGTGCTACATAGTTAGTTTATTTTACAAGCTACCAACACATGATTAACTTATTGAACAAGTTTTTAATTTATTAATCAACTACAAATATATATAAAGTCAAAGCAACATTAAGAATTATTCCTACCTCTAATAAAATCACCAAACATTGAAAGTCTCTTCTAAGATCATAATACCAAATACATTATATCTTACTATCTATTTGAAGAAAGACATATTATTCTTGAAGATCTTCATCTCTATATTATATTTTTTTTAAAGTTGTAACAATTATAATATCTTATCTAATAAATCAACAAGTGATAGCTCTTAAATTGAATCTGCTAGTTGTTGATTTTCTATCTTCTTAATATTACAAATATATAAAAGTTACATTTATAAGATTCTTTGTTGGCTCTCACATGCATTTGTTATTATTATATCTTTACTAATGAATAAGATATTTTAATCTATTTTGACACCACCTTGAATTTAAAATTTCTTCTATTTTAGATTCTTGATTATTATTCACTTTTAGAAGAAGAAATATTATTTATCTTCTTTCCAAGATATTCACTATCTAATATAGCTCAAGAAGAGATACATGCAATACTGAATGGATCTTCATTGACTCTGATATATGTAATTAATAAGCAACTAGATTGACTTATTCATAAATAGGAAAAGATCCAAGCTTACAATAATTCAAATTTTTACAAGGACAAGTAGTCTTGATATTATGATAAAGTAGCCATAATTTATCATTTATGACAAATTATGGTTGTTTCTTGCAATAGGCATCTGCATTGATTTTTTGTCATTCTTCAATTTTTTTTAATAGGGCCTTGGTAGTTATATGTAGCTCTAGCAAATGATTTGCCAAATCTTCTATTGTAAGATTATTAACTTTTGAAAATTTAAAAGTATCAAGCTATAGATAATAATCATAATTGAGAAAGAAAAGTGTTTGTTGAGTAAAAGAATGCATTGAATTATTGTACATAAACTCTTTCAATGGCAAAAGAATTGTCCAATCATCTTAATGATAGTTAATAGTATATCTCAAATACTATTCCAAAATTTAATTCACTTGTTTTGGTTGTCCATCAATTTGAAGATGAAAAGTCAATAAGAATTTTATATCTATCTTTAAAATCTTAAAAAATATTTTTTAAAAGCTTGATACAAATTGAATCCTCCTATTTGATATAATATCTTTCGACAATCCATGTTAGTGATAGATGTTAAAAAAAAGTTAAGCCTTTTTTTTTTTTTTTTCTTGTGATAGATTTTGTACATGGTATAAAATATCTTATCTTAATAAAAATCTATTATCACAAATATAGAATTATAAAAATCTAAGATTAGAAGATTTGTGATAAAATCCATAGAAATAAAAGTCCATAATTGTTCAAAAATAAGTAATGGTTGGAAAAGTCTACAAGGTTGATGACAAGGAGTTTTTGATTTTGAATAAATATCACATGATTGTATAAAGTCTTTGAGTGCCTTCCACATTTGAAGCTACTAAAAATCTCTAGATATTAACTCTAAAATCTTATTATATCCAAAATATCTGATTATTGAAGACTCTTAACAAGCTTAACGAATACATAATTATACTTTTTCTTTTAGAATATATAATCATTCTTCAAAATAAAATAGATTATTTTTAAACTCAAACTTAAAAGTATTATGAAACTTTTGAAGAATTATTTTTGATATCATGAATAAGAAGATCAAAAGACATACTTGATTGAATTTGCTTAAGAAAGATTGAATTAATAGTCAATATTGATTTTATTGCTTGAAGATGAAAATATATCAAAGACATGAATCTCAAGGAAAGAACATCCTTAATATACTCTTGTATCACTAAAAAGAATTAAAAAGTCACTCAAAGATAATATAATATTGAACTAGAATCAAAATTATTAAAATAAAAAAGACTAGAAAGTCTTGAAACAAGACCAAGGACCAGAAAGGCATTGACAAGAGTGAAAAAGGCTTCACTTTTGCCTCTATATATACTCTCTAATTAGGAGCTATAT